GCCCGCCCCCCGCCTGCAGCGCGCGGTGCGGCCGCGGCGGCGCCTGGCTGGGGTTGGAGGTGGGGGGGGGGAGAGGCGGCGGCGGCGGCGGCGCACGTGCCTCGCGGGCGCGCGCCCGTCGGGAGCGGGGCGGCCTCGGCTGCGGCCGCGCCGTACCGGGGCCTCCGCGGCGCGGGCGGGCCGGGGGCGGGCGGAGCGGCGAGCGCGGAGGTGAGCGGGGCGCGAGGCCGGGGGCACCGGCGGGCCTGGCTCGGGCCGAAAGTTGTCGGCGCGGCGGGAGCGGGGCCCGCGCGTCCGCAAGGGGGAAGCTCCGCTCCGCCGCCGCTCCTGCCCCCGGCACGGCGGGAGCGCGGCCGCGGCCCGGGCCGGGCGCGCCGGGGTCGGTAATTCCGCCTGACTGGAGCGAAGTTTGCCCCGGACGGCGCCGGGCGGGGGGGTCGCGGCCGGTACCGCTGTCGGCGCTTCCATGTGACAGGGGCGGGAGGAGCGGGTGGAGAGCCGTTCGCATCCCCGACCTAAACCCGGGCGAACGTGCCGACACCCCAGGGATTGGCCTGGTCGTAGTTAGGCACCGTAAAGAAGGGTGTTTAGTTACTAATATGGATTTTTTTTTCCTTATTCGCCGCAGCAAACGCACGTCTTTACCTTGATGAGCCCTTTTGCGTTCTCTAACGGGAAACCCTTGCTTAGAATACAGGGGTGTCTCTACAACCTTTTGTCTGGATTTTTGCTCAGATTGCTTTGGGAATTTTTTTTTTTGGGTTGTTTCTTGTAACTTGGTGGCATTAGAGCTTCCGTGGGTATGGCCACCTCTCTTGAGTTTTGCCTGCACTGTGTCCAGTGGGGTGAGGGCCAAAGGCTTTGCAAAAATATAATTTTTAAGTAGTAGCACTGATTTTGAGTGTTGTTAGCTTCATATTTTACTATCTTTTTAACGCTCCCAAATCCATTAATTAGATCTTTTCTATGGTCTGGAAAACACCAGTCTTTATTCTTTCCTCATTTGGTTTTAAGTACATGATTAACTGCACTGAAGTAAGGAAATGCCACCTGGTTAACAGGGACGTGAGTGAGGAGAAAGTGAGCATTCACCTGGGCTTCCTGGCTCAGATTGTGACGTTTCAGTTCTCTTGGGGGTGACAGTGTTGTCACCAGAGCACACTCAGGCTCCATTCACTTTTCGGGCTTCCTGTGCCAAGATATGATGGATTTTTCCTACGTAAAGCCCAGATTTTGGTGTGCTCAGCCCTGTGAGGCCGCAGCTCCACGGACCAGGCAGGTCAGTGCTCCCTGACTGGGAAGGTAATTTGTCCTTTCCACTTGTTATTTATTGCAACTTTTGTCAGGTTTGGTGTTGGTGGCTGGTTTCTGGGGGCAGGTTAGATGTGTCCTTGCTGAGGAGATGGGTTTGCTCTGCCGAGTGGGGCTGTGCCGAAACTGCCAGAGAGGCGCCCGCTGTGCCTGGCACTGCTGTCCGGTGTCTCTGCTGGCTGGGCCGGAGCTGCCGCTGCTCCGTGCCCGTGCACAGCACGGCAGCATCACGGAGGTGGGAACAGAGCATTCCTGGCTCTGCCTCAGCAGCTGGGATGTTCTCGTAGTAAGTCACAGAGCAGCTCCCCCGCTGACCTACTTCTGTGGTGGATTTTCAAGGAGATGCGATATAAACCATTCATTCCTTAAACTTAAACTCCACCTGTCAGAAACTTAAGTGGGAATGGTTTTAAAGCATGATTCAAGCAGAGTGTTTCACCAGTCGTGCAGGTGTTGGAGGAGAGAACACCAGTTACTTTGGATTTTTGTTACTTTAATGAGTTAAAAGCCGATGTAAATGGCAGCTCGAGGGCCGGCTGCGGAGCAGCGCTGCTTTCATTGGGAAGCCGCCTGCTCCATCCCCCCAGCGCGGTGCAGCAGCGACAGCCTCGTGAGCAGGAGCACACGGCTCTGAAGACCTGCCCAGCCTTGGAGCTCCGTGCTGAGCTTCGGTCGGGGCTTCTTGTGCCCGGCGAGCAGCAGGGGATCACTGGCGGGAGGTGAGGTTTGGAATGAGGCTGGCGCCGCTGTCCCCTGGCTGCAGAAAAGAGTTCCACGGCTTGGAGAACTCGGGTGAGTTTCCTCTTTTCTGGTTTCCTGGGGCAGGATGAGGCTGGCTCAGTGACCAAGTGGCTCTTGCCATCCTGCAGCAGAGGGTTTGTGGGTTTTGTAGTTCCTGCTACGTTTTGTGTAGCTGAGCTGAGCTGGGAGGACTGACCCTCGGCGGTGCCATCTTGGCAGCTGTGACAGCTCTGAACTTCATCAGGGAGGTGATGGAGGGGGGCCTTTTTAAAAACTTCCTTTTTCTAATTTAAAGTTCAAAATAGAAAGGATGTGCATGGACAACCTTGCTTTTGTTTCTATGTTCTCATGGACAGGTACCTGTAACCGTGAGCTTTGCAGAGAGCAGTGCCTGTGTGTTTGGTGTGTGGCTGGCGCAGGGGCCAGGCACCTTGCCATGTGGTTGTTGCATTTTCTATCTGTTTGGGCAGGGTCATAGGTGGGATAGCAGGAGGTGGTGTTCCTCCCCACAGCTTCTGATGAGCTGAGGGTGCTGGTGGCATGGGCTGACCGAGAGGGCAGGTGGAGCCTCAGATGTTTCTGACTGCGGAGGGATTGTTCAGGGAACAACCTTTTGAAAACAAAACATTCTCGATTTGGTTGTTAAACAGCAAATATTTACTTTCCTCTGCGGAAGTGTGTTGCGTAAGATTTTATTACTTAAACAAGCCTGAGCTTACGGTGTGCTGATGGCTGGGGCTGTGTGCCATGCTCCGTGCTGCTGTCCAGCTTGGCAGGATCAGGCTGTCGCGGAGAGGAGGCAGCACTTGACACTCGGCTCAGTCCACTCCTTGCCCCAGAATCTTTGCTGAATTTTCAGCAGTTGGGATTTTACCAAAATCTCTGTTGTCAGAGATGGAAGCAAACTGCCTCCTAGTGAAGCTTCTAGACCCTCTCTGTGGGCTGTCAGCCAGCAGGACGGGTTCAGGGAGCGGACTCGATTTGCTTTTTCCAAATAGCAGGAACTGCTTGTGTGTGAGGTCAGTTTTCTGAGTACTTTTGGTATTATAACTGTGTTATTCCCGATGTAAGGCATGGGGCTTGTTTAAAGCTCTGGTTTTTTACTTCACTTTCTCATCTCTTCTTTTGTTTTTCAGAAGCACTTTGACTCTAAGGTTCTTTGGTTTATTTGTGTCAGTTTTAAAGCTACATCTGGAGGAAACCTTCCTGGAGATGTCATAACTCAGATTTCATTCTCTGAGTCAGAAAATGATACAGGGAAATGATGATGTACAAGTAAGGTTAAAACAGATGTTTTAAAATTTAGTATTTGAGGACTTGGTGCCACCTTTACATTACTAGTGGTTTTAAATGGCTCTTGTAAAGACCTGCTTACAAAGGTGGATATTGCTGGAGAAAGGGGCAATAGCTATCCTACCTCTGTCCAGACAGCCTTTAGAAAGAAGGAACTGGAATGTGACCTTCCTTTTTTAACGTCCCTCTGTCTCTGCTTCAGTAAGCCACATGTGTCTGGAGGGTAGAAAAAACTCTGACAAACCCAAACCTTTCCAGGGAGTGAAACCAGGCTGGTGGAGTGCTTGTGGAATATGGGGATGGTTAATTGAAATGCAGTGCTTCCAGCAGCTTCCTGCAGCTTTGGTGTTCCCTGGCTTCCACTTCCACACCTTGCTGAGTTTTTGCTTTGTGGTTTTCTCCCCTCATTTGGTGTCTCGTTTTCACCTTCCACAGCTCCCAGCACCCTGGCAGCCCTGCATTGGGTTTGCGCTGTGTTAAACCCCTTGGGTTTGGAAAGGCAGGTTCACCTGCAGGTGCTTGCACCTGTCTTAGCCCCAGTGCTTTGGGGTGCAGCACCCACCCTGTTCCCAGGGCGATGCCGAAGGGGCTCTCTGTGCCAAGGAGCAGTCACTGCACTGAGTGAGCGAGAGCAAACTCTGTTCTCGCTGGGCGTGGAGCACTCAC